GGCTGCTGGTCTTCATGGTCATCTCCCAGTTATCCCACATTCAGGATGCTGCTCCGTGTTGCGGTGCCGCTCTCAGTGCATGGGAAGGATGGTCCCACTGCAGTGTCCTCCTGCCTTGGCTCAATCCCAGTGGAAAAATGAGATAAGTGGGACTGGTCCTGGGCCAGGCTGTGCCCCAGCAGCCCATCACAGCTGTGTGTGTCCCCCTGTGGAGCGAGTGCTGCCATCAGCCAGCCACCTCTCCTGCTGCTGGGAGCATCACCAGCCGCTTGGTCCCTCGCAGGTGGGAATGTCCATGTGGGGCTCCGGTGGTTTCAGTCCTCTTGTGTTCCTGATGTTTTCTGCACGAGGGCACAGGGAGGTGCCTTCCCAGGTGCTTCTTGCCACCAAGCTGGTCTCCCGTGCAGGACAAGGATGCACCAAAGGCAGACCCGGAGGTGCTGCGTGGGGATAGGTCTTCTGCAGCCACTTTGGGAACACCTCTGCAACAAAGCCCTGTGCTCTGGCCAGAGGTGATGGGGGCAAGCAGGGACACCCTCCACAGCTAGTCCTGCATCCCTCAGCCTGCCACAGCACTCCCAAAAAATCCTTCCTCCCCATGGACTGCTCCAAGAAATACTGCTTTTCCCTGGAATGTTTTTGTCTACAATTGCCCTGATAAGATTACCAAAAAAAAGAAACTGGGTAAAAAATATCTACCCCCCAGGTCACACTGAGGTTAGGCTACAAGGCCACCCTGTCCAGGCAGGTGAAACACTGGTGATGGGTTTGGGGACAGCAGGAGAACCAGAGGGACCTTTCTGGGTGTAGCAGGGAAGGTGGCACCAAGCAGGGGCACAGAGGCTGCTTCCTCCTGACAGCAGGAGAGATGGACCTCACAGGGATGGGTTGGGATAGGACAGGGTGCAACTGCATGGGATGGGACAGGGGACCATGGCAGGGGGGAGAGGAGGGACAGTGCCCAACCCCTCAATGGGACTGCAGGGAGAAGGCCAGTTTGACACAGGCGAGCTCCTCCCCACCGTTGCTGATGACCGCACGGACACGGTAGTTGCCGTTGGTCATCCAGGAAGGCAGTTCCACGTCAGGCACGTCAAAGTCACTGGCTGGCAGGGAGTAGGAGCCCTATGGAGAGAGGGCAGGTCAAGAGATCAGCCAAAACCCCAGCCCTGCCCTGAGGGGCACAGTGGTGCCCGTCAGCACTGCCAGCACCACCCCAGGGGGTTCAGCCGTACCGCTTTGAAGGGGCAGTGGCAGGGGATGCCGTAGGTGAGCAGGGGCTCTGGGCAGGTTGTGCCAGGTGGGATGAGGTCATCAAGCATGCTGCAGACATCGTTGTAGGTGCAGCTTCCCAGCTGGTCAATGCAGGGCAGCTGGATCCAAAGCTCACCCAGCGCCTTCTCTACCGTCAGCACTGCCTGGAGGGAAGATGTTCAGCACCAGTACAACCAGCACGGGCACCCACAGCTCCTCCAGCCGGTCCCACAGCACCTCACCAGCCAACTCCCTCAGCTCCTGATCATGCAATCCTTGGGGTGTCTCTGGGGTCACTGCACACCCTCCTGCTTTCAGATCCTCTCAGCCTGCAGGTTTCTCTTCCTCCAGCCTCTGGCTGGTCCCTTGAGCAAACACCACCCAGGAACCCACAGTCCCACTCCTTCCCCTTTCCTCTGCCTCTGTCCCCAAACAGGTGCTCCCATCCCTCAGCTCTGCCTCCAGGCTCCCCAAGAACACTTCCCACAGCCCCAGCCACAAACATAGCATTGCTCAAGACAGCCTATGCACCCTGGGCAGAAACACGTGTTTCATCTCCTTCCAAAAACTTCCCAAAAAGTGGTGCAGGGCAGCCAGCACAGCCCAAGGCTCCCGCAGCAGTGCCCCGGCATGTCCTTGGAGAGAGCAGCCACATCTGGCCTCTGAAAAAGGAGTACTGCAGTGACTGCCAGGAGCACTCACAGCACTTGGGTTTCATTTCCCTCCCTGAGCCACTACGTCCCCGGGACACGAGACAGCTCAGGTGGTTTCTCCCCCCGGGACAAGGTTGGAAGGCTCCCACTGGGCTGTCAGTTCCCACCGTGGGTCTCCCCATGCCCTGTTCTGCCTTACAGAACCCGCTGTGCTCAGCCCTGCACCGCTCTGTGCCTCGCTCCCCAAGGGCTGCTCATTCCTGCACCCACTGACACACATTTCCCAGCGGCCAGTGGTTTAGGGAAGTTCTGCCCTCCCTCATCACATGGAGGCATGTCTGGCACTTACCTTCAGAGGGGAAGCCATGGTCTTTCCGTTGTTGACGGCCGCACTGACACGCAGCCTCCCTGGGATGCTGATGGGGTCGGGTGCCACGGAGAGGCTCTGCACCACCACAGGGTCCGTCTTGTCACCACAGTTCTCCCAGGCAAAGCCACCAACCTGCAGCACCAGGGGACAGGAGGAGTTAGAGCCAGGGCAAGCCTCACCCTAGGTTTGCAGGAGGTTTCTCCAGTGCTGGACATCTGATCCCCGCCAAACAACTGCTCACAAACAGCCAGAAAATTACCTTCAGCCCCTTCGAATGCCAAATAAACACAACACTCTGCATTTCTCAAAATCCCAGCTCTCCGAGCCTGAGGGCACCTCAGAAACCCTCTGTCTGCATGAACTTTACACCCAAAGGATTACCAGGCTGCAATTTCCAAATTGCCTCAGCTCTGCCTCCAAACACTTCACATGTGAACAGGGCAAGAAGCATCCTTCATGCCAACGGCATTGAGCAAGGTGTGTGAGGACAGGTGAGAGCAAGCTGGGACCAGGGCAGCGTGGTGGCAGATGCACTGTGCAGAGGGATACTGGGGGTCATGGGGTATGCCCTTGGAGGGCCTGTGGGGTTGGCACAGCCTCCCACCTCATCCAGGATCAGCCCAGCTGTTGCAAGCCCTCATCCACCAGCTCTGGCCACCCGTTTCCACACAGGAGCAGGAATCACACTCGGGGGACAGATGAGCCATGGTTATCCCCTGCCTGATACAGTCCAGGGGCCTGATCTTGAGCTGGTTCAGAACAAATAAGCCAGAGAAGCAGAATTATCCCATGGAATAACGAAAATCCACACGTAAGGAGATATCACCTGAAGGGGGGACATCGCAGGTGTGTCCTGTCCAGGCTAGGAGCCATGCTGGGAGATCTCCCCTGTTTCCTACAAGTCCCACCAGCCTCCCCAGACACCACCAGTAAAGGCACTCAATCAAAGGTGGAGGGATGGCGGCACATGTCTGCAACAGCCAGCCCTCAGCCTGCCACAGGCCAGTGGCAAGAGCCCAGCCCCAGCTCCCTCCCCGAGCAGGTTTGGCCAGAGCAGCCCGTGTCCCCATGCCATGCTGTGGGGCTCTCCCTGCCTGCTCACAGCCGCAGAACCGGTGGAGGCTGTACTGCCTGGTGCCACACGGCAGCCCCTGCGGCC